AAATATTTTCTCTATTTCTGAGATAGAGACAGCGTGAGCGGGGGAGGGTCAGAGAGAGGTGGAGACACAGAATCTGAAGCAGGCTCTAGGCTCTGAGCTAACCGTCAGCCCTAGGCTCCGAGCTAGCCGTCAGCACAGATCCCGATGTGGGGCCCGAACCTACAAACCTTGAAATCATGACCTGAGCCGAAGTGGGAGGCCCAACTGATTGAGCCACCCAGATGCCCCCAGATTATTGTTTTTTAACTGTTATCCCTACCAAGAACGTTTTCTTGAATTTTGAGGTTTCAAAACATTTTGTCTTCACAATTTAAAGTACAGTAAAATATCAGATATGCTTTTTTTCATGTGGTGATTTAGAGGTGATGTATCTCTTTAAACATTGAATCTTTCTATGTCCAAACAGTGTATGTCTCTTCATTTATTTCTCCTAAATTCTTTGATAGAGTTTGATAATTTCCTTTACTTGTTCCATGAATTTATTACTAAGTTATGGATGTGTTTTGCAATTATAAATTGCAAGTCTTTTTCTTCATATTTTCTAGGTGGTGGTTTTGGCATGGAACAATGCTATATATTTTCATATAATAATTTTTTGATATCACTTTAGTGAATCTCCTTTATTTTCTTTCATATTTTTTTCAGTTACTTCTCATGGATTTTTCATATGGGGAATTAAATTATCTGCAAATAGTGATTATTTTGCCCCTTTGTTTTCTAATCCATTTACCTTTCACTTGGTTCGATTAATTGCATTGTCTTTTGTTTCTGAAAAAATGTTATTAGTGATAAGAGTAGACATCCTTGTTTTATTTCTGATCTTTCTAGAAATGGTTCCAGTGTTTTATTATTAATCAGATGCTTATTATCTGTTATAGTTAGACTAATACGTGTATGTATCAAGGAGGTATTAGTATCCTAATAAAAGAAAATATCCTTTTATCCCTATTCAATTAGAACTTTTAAAAAATAAACTTAGTAGTGATTGTTTAAAAAAATTTTAGCTTTTGTTGAGGTAATTATATGATGATTTTTTCCCCCACTTTGACCTTTTAATTTGATGACTTATTTTTCTTAATATTCATCTGTCTTTCTTGGAGTGGACTTACTCTGTCATGGATCATCATGCTTAATTCTGTTTTCCAATATTTTATATAGCATTTTTGTTATTTATGATGGTTTTTGAGTTTGTAGATGTGGTCACATCTTCCTGTCAGGGTTAAATTGGCTTCATAAGATGTAGCAGAAAACTACTTCTTCCCATATGTGTAGGAATTATTTAAATAACATTGGAATTATCTCATCCTTGACATTTTGAAGAAACCTGTCCCTAAAACTGTTTGGATCAGGCATAATGGGAGGTCCAAGGTCAGGAATACATTTGGGCCAGTAAGGTAGGCTATTTTCTTGGTATTCCTCTCTCCAGTCCAAATCTGAGATTCAATAAGTACATCAGATAGGCTTTTAGTTTCTTTGTTTTTATTGATTTTGCTAACATCATTAGATCCTCTCATTGTTTCTGGAACTGTGCAGAAAACAGTTAACGTGTAAAGACTGAACTGCTATCTTTAAGAAGCCCTGCTTTCAAGGTTGGCCCTTTTCTGGCATCTAGAGGGAAACTTAGATTTAAAAAGTGTTCCTGCCATCAGTTGATAAGAGTGGCTCACTTAAGCAGTTTGTACAAACATTATGGTCTATATTGAACTTTCCTTCTGGGAGTCTGGAATTTGAATACATGCCAGGCAGGGGCTTCCTACTTGGAACAGCGCCCCCATTATAAGTACTCAGGGCATCAAGTCTCTAACAGGCTTTCTGGTTGGCAACATATAACATGTGTTGTCTGTCACAACTTATTGCTGGTGGAATTAAGCATGTCCCAAGTAATTCCGCTGGGAGAGGACCCATGGCAGATTATGTCTTGTTCTCAAACTTTGCCTCTTGTGCTTTTTCAAAACCTTTGCTAATTTTGCTTTGTATTCTTCAGCTGTAATAAATCAGAGTCATGAGTACAGTCATATGCTGAGTCACAAGAATTGATTTCATATGTCAGGCCAGGACTGTGATATTAAAAGGCAGTGGCAGAGTTATAAAATATAACTTAAAAATCTATAACCATGTCATTACAGGTGTGGAAGCAATCTCATGGAAGTTAGAAAATTTGTCAAAGATCATATATGTTGATAGTGGCAGAATAAACAGTTTAAAGTTTAATAGACAAGTGAAGAAACGGTTTTGCTCCATGAAGTTTAATATTTTTCCCACTTTATCAAATTAAAATCAGTGGTTTAAAAAATTAACTTTATTGGTGTATGTTTCTAAAACATGCTTTTTTAAATGCAGATGGGTGGGCCCAAACTATTACTTTGTAAATAAGCTAGGGCATTGGGCAAAAATATAGTTTTTCAAATATTTTCTGTTTATAAGCTGTAGCATTGGTAATTTTGTTAGCATCATTTGCCTCTTTGCAGTAAGATTCAAAATGGAATCAAATCCTCAATGAATTTTCTCAGAAATTTTGTGTATTTGTGTACCTGAGTAAGGTATGTGACCCTACAACAACAGAGTCTAAATCAGTGGCTCCTTTTCGGCCTGCTCATTAAAATCACTTCTGGAGAGTGATTCCACATTCCAGACCAATTAAATCAGAATTTCTATGGGTGGGGCTCAAGCATCCTCCCTCCTCCTGCCCCCCTCTTTAAAGCTCCTCATGTGATTCCAGTATATGTAAGCTCATTGACAGTCACTGGTCTAATTAAATTATTTCTACATGGCTAATAAAAATTGTATTCCATAGTAAGTGACTAGTCAGGAAACCATAATTAAAACATAAATTTAGCAAAATGAAATTATATGTATTAGAAGTACAGATCTGGAGAACCTATTAAGATAGATTATTTATATATGTAATGTTAATGTTTATTATGTATCAGTTGAAGAATTAAATGTTTATCTTTGAGGTGGTTAACCAGAAATCAGTAATTTCTCATTAAGAGCCACTTAGTCTCACAACCTGGATAAAATTTTAAGAGAATATTATACCAGAGAATATATTCACTGGGTATATGCATAGCATTTGTTCAGGCAGGGAAAGAGTCTGTTTAGTTTAGAGCCACGCACCTAAGGAGTGAGATTTTGAAGTCAGATACCAGTAGATTCCAGAATTTCATGGCTAACATAGAAAATAACCATGTTATTTTGAACACTGATTGGGTAAGCCAGCTAGAAATCAAAACAAAAACCAGAAAACAGTCTGATCCTTTGTCTAGAGGACAGTCAATCTTTAATCATATGTCAGAGCAGGGTTTGGCAAACTGTAGTCTTGAGAGTTAAATCTGTCCCTTTTCTGTAACTAGTTTTATTGGAACATAGCCATGCACATTCATTACTTATTGGCTTCAGTGGTCTATACAGAGACTGTATAGCTTGCAGAGCCTAAAATATTTACTGACTCTTTGGAGAAAGTTTGCCAATTTCTGTATTAGACTGTTGTATCATGCGTTAAACAATTGAATCGTGCATTATTTGCTGACACTTAAGTTGAATTTGGTCTTTCATACACAGGTGACTGGAGATGATTCAGTTTTTAAGGCTTTCAAATGGAGCTTGCAGTTGAAGAAGAGGGATTTGCCTTTACGACTAGGGAACTATGCTGTTAGCTCTCTGATGCTCCTTCTGTAGGGGGTCAGGAACTTGTCCACTTACCTGGTGCAGGTGTTTCCTTGCCTGACTCTTCTTCCATGTTCTTCTATGTCACCATCCTTGCTGGTGCTCTTTCTGCTGGGGTTGAGCATGGATTAGCAAGTAACTAGGGAACCTGGACTCTGAGGATCTTTCACTGCAGTTTCTGGGGATTGAGGCCATTTTTTGTACACGTTGCTAATATTGGATCTAGATATGAAAGTTTAAAGATTGGGAGTGGCTTAACCTTTAATCCTGGTCCAAGTGGAGAGTTCAAGAAGGTGTGGACGTGTACTGAAGAAGGCACATTCCCTTAGTCTCTGGTGCATTAGAAGGGTAGCAGTAGAGGCTGAGCTGTCAGCCACATCTCCACCTTGGGCATCTGAATGCCAGTGAAGGCTCTTACTCACTTGCTGGATAACTTACCCTTAAAAAAACATTACCTGCAAATATTGGAGAGATTGAAGAATATAAACACTTTTAGCTTTCAAAGAAAATAATTCCCCTTTTTAATAGGTAAAGTTATTAATGATGTTTCAGCCCTTTGATTTTCAGTTACATCTGTAGAAAAATTATTGCATACAAAAGCAAGGAAGTGCCTATAAATAAGATTAAATGTAATGATGTTCTGGTAAGCAGCCTTGTCATCAGAGCTGAAAGTTTGTGCTAGAAGTTACAGTTTTGAAAAAAAAATATTGGGTTATATTGGGGTTATTCTTTTTTTCTTTTTTTTTTTGAGGGAAGGTTAGGATTTCATTAATAAATGTCAGGTTATTTTTGTGACTCTACAAGATTATAATTTTTGTAAAATATTTAATATATTTTCAAACCAGAATCTCTGAAACTTTTAGAAATCTGATGACTTAGTTTATTCTGTTTGTGATTTAGACCTAGATTTATGCATGGATGACTTTTCAACAGGGTATAGTTAGTGATACCCAACCTCATTAAATTAGATCTGTGCTATAAGAGAAGTTCTTCTGGTTGTTGATTTTCCTTTTCCTGAGGTTTTGATAAATAAGGGACCTGTATTTGGGCACAGTTTTCTAGATATGATGACTCCAAGTGCTTTTGTATTAGAAGACCTGGCATTTCTGTTTTCCTAGTGTGATAAGACTTTGAAGGTAATGGAGTTAATGGAGTCAGGCCCAATTACTTCCCAGAATAAGTTGGTTGATAAAGATACCAGTAATGGTGAAATCTCTCTCGTGTGAATTTTTTTATAAGTATTTTAAAGTGTTACTTAGCTATGTTTATAGTATGTGCTTATCTAAGTATACTTCCCTCCCCCCAATAATTCTTATCCCTTCTTTATATAACAGATCAGCGAATATCACCTGTTCTACAAGATGAGTAACAGTCACCCTCTTCGCCCCTTTACTGCCGTGGGGGAAATTGATCATGTGCACATTTTGTCTGAACATATTGGTGCCTTGCTGATTGGAGAAGAATATGGCGACGTCACATTTGTTGTGGAAAAGAAACGCTTTCCTGCCCACAGGGTAATTTTAGCAGCAAGGTGCCAATATTTTCGGTAAGTGTATATTACTTTTCAAAGATTCAAGTCACTTGTGGGAAACACTGATATTTTCTACTCTATGAAAAATATGTAACAAAGCATAACACTAAACGTTAGCAATCTTTCGATTCGACATCTGTAAGGTTTCCATCTTTGTAGACTTTTAGTTACTTTTTAAAAAATCATCTTTTCCTTCAGAAACCATCTGAGAATTAGAGGGTTAGAAGGCTTTCCAGAGCAGACAGTCCCACACCAACCATTTTTCAAGGCCTCGAGGATATTTCTCAGGCTGTCTTCGTTGCTTCTCACAACTGCTTCTCAGAGTTGATGACTGATAGAACTTCAGCCGATTTATTGATTTATTGGCAGATTGGCACATGTATACCTCTTAGTTTCAGACCACTGAGGCCCAGGACCTATAAGTAACCCAACAGATCTATTGCTAAGATATACAGTTTGGCAATCCCATTAGATTAAAGAGAATTTAAGTATTTATTGAAAGGAAGTTTTATGGTTAGTTATATTAGAATTAAAATTAAGCAAAATATTTATGGACTAAGGTAAAAAAAAAAAAATCCTCCTTAGGGGACTTGAGAGGCTCATTCAGTTAGGTGTCTGACTTCAGCTCAGGTCATGATCTTGTGGTTTATGAGTTTGAGCCCCACGTCAGGCTCTGTTCTGATAGATCAGAGCCCGGAGCCTGCTTCAGATTCTGTGTCTCCCTCTCTCTGCTCCTTTCCTGTTTGCACTCTGTCTCTCTCTCTCTCTCAAAAATAAACATTAAATAATTTTAAAAAATCATCCTTATATATAGGTGTTGTTTGTTACTCAAACCTTAAACTTCCAGGCTTATGAATGAATGTAAAGATAAGCTCTAATTACTCTACATTTTACCTAGTAATTATTAAATGGGAATTACCATTGAATTATAGACTGAGTGATAATTTATCCTTGATAAATCCTTGGAGTCCATGGTGTCCATATCCATAAAATAATGGATTTACCTGGGAAACTTGATATCTAAAAATTAAGATGCCAAAGGCTTAGAGAAAATTTCAGTTATCTTCTAGTGAAAACTGCAGTCTGATTTTTACAGAGTTAAGTAAGTCAACAGCACAGTATCTAGAGTCACATACACAGTGTCGTAAAGTAAGTCTCTTCAAAATATTTACCATTTAATTAGAACTCTTTTAGTACATTTCAAATATTTTTAGAGCATTCCATTTTGTACCTGCAAAATGCCACCGTCGATGAAGCCAGGAGCTTCAAAAAGAGAGCGTACACTCTCCTACTCCCCCTGCTGGTGGTCAGCTCCACCCTGGCTGCTGGCCTTGGCCTGGTCATTAGTTACCAGCCTCTGTCCTCTGTTTCCAAAGGAAACACTTTTCCTTTGTGTTTCTGTCCCTTTTCTTATTTTTGGTCCACTCATTACTGTTAAAGTGTTAGGTCAGAACTTTTCAGCCTTATATTTAATATTTATTGATATAATATACCTTCTTTCAAAAATTATTTGAGACAATTATGTGTGGGTACCTTTAAATGATCAGGATATTCTTAAAAGAAACTCACATACTTTTAGAAACTTGAAGATCATCTTGAGTGAATGGAATATACTCCTCTCACTTACTGAACTTGTTCTTGGTGTCTCTTTGTGGATATTGAACATTTATAATCTGTGATGGCTCATTAGGCTCAACTCAGTCATTACCAAAGCTATCTTAGATTCTCATTGTGGACACTGTTCATATGCAAAGGAAATTTAGGAGAGGCCCTAGTAAGTGTTGTCATAAAGCCTATCAGTTCCCAGATAAGGACAAACTAACTGTACAAGAGGGGATTTTTCACAAGTTGGGGTTTCATATTTGGGGTTCCAAGGGAGCCTTATGAAAACCACTTTTAAAGTATTGAGAATTAGGTAAATACCATGGATCACGCCATAGGTGGAGTAAGTCTTGGCGAGCCCTCCCTAGGAAAGTATTCTTTAATCTAGTAGTTTTAAGGTTGTGGTGTGGTGCTCTCTAGATTAATGAAAACCTTTACAGGTGTTTTTAGGCAGAGTATAACCTGGTGAAGAAATATGCTCAGAATATTTGTGAATCTTTGCCTGGATGGTTTCAGCTGTTTCCCTGAGGCCAGCAAGAATGCCAAGGCCTGGGGAGCATGGGAGGGGTTTCAGCAGTGGAGGGGACCCTTGAAATGCTAGTCCCGCTCTGAGAATCGTAGGAGCAGGGGAGTCTCTTTTTTGCCCCCTTATTGTCTTGTTTTCACTTTTACACATTTCCTTTCTCACCTGTACTCTCCTTTTCTGCACATCTCCCTGGTCCCCTTCCGGCTGCCCTTCCTTTCCTGATGGATTCGAGGTTTAACTGGTTCATATTATTCCTCCTATAGTAATAGAGGTAGAAATTCAAATTCATTGCCTGACTGGATTATCTGGTTTTCATTTTTTAGATGAGCAGATAAGCAATAATATGGGGATTTTTTTAAATCTGAAAAATACTGAAAAGACAGGAGGAAAAAAACAGTTAAATCACCTATAATCCCATCACCAGTTTCATTTTTAATTTATTAAGTAGCAAATGGAAGTCCTTCCCTCCCAGCCATCTAATCCCATTCCCCAGAGACAACCTCTGTTACAGTGTAAGATGAATTTCCCCTGGTTTTTCTCAATATCAATAGCAATATCCACATATACCTATGTGTATACACATATAAGTAGATGGTATATGCTTTTTTCCATGCAACCCATATGAGTCTGCAACTTGACCTACCTACTGTATCCTGGACATCTTTCCAAGGCTGCACATATTGATCTCCTTTATCTCTAATAGCTGTACAGAATGCATATATCCGTTTTTTTTTTTAAACATGTTTCTGTTGATGGACATTTAAGATTTTTTTCAACATTTCCATTGCTTCGGTATACATTCTTAAAATGAATCTTTGCATTGCTTTATTATTTCTCTAGAATTGAGCCCTAACAGTGAGATTACTGAGTTGAAGGGGGTGTACATTTTAGATTTGAAGACAGATTCCTTAAATTACTTTCCCTTAAAGGGGGCCTATTTATAGGCTTGAAGCAGTGCATGAGAGAACCTGTTTTTCCATTGCTTTTGCAGCGTTGAACAGTTAACAGGATTTTTAATTCCTGCTGGTCTGACAGGGGCGAATGGCACCTGAGTGTGTGTAATTGTTTTTATCTGATTATGTCTTTTCCTACAGAGTTTTATTTTTTAAACGTCCTTATCGACCTTTATTATGTTTGTATGGATTTCGCTGTTCCTTACAAAAGAGTACTTTCATCTTTCAGTTTAATGAATGTTTATTACATATTTGAGCTCTCAGGATATTTCATTAGTCCAATTGTTTATAGAATTAATCCAAAATAGTTTACCAATCATTTCTCTTCCTTTAGAGGAATATTTAAAGTGATTACCACGCATTTCTTCACCTGATTCTTTGTGTCACTAAACAGATTTACGTTTGCATAATGCTGCTAACCATTGTTTCGTGATATTGTGACAAATCTTATTGGAGGTTTTCCTCACGCGTTTCTTCTCTGATGTGCAGAGCATTACTGTACGGCGGGATGCGGGAGTCTCAGCCCGAAGCAGAAATCCCTCTCCAAGACACCACTGCAGAAGCATTCACAATGCTGCTGAAATACATCTACACCGGGCGGGCAACGCTGACAGATGAGAAGGAGGAGGTGTTGCTGGACTTCCTGAGCCTGGCTCATAAATATGGATTTCCAGAGCTGGAGGACTCTACCTCTGAGTACCTCTGCACCATACTTAACATTCAGAATGTCTGCATGACTTTTGATGTCGCCAGCCTCTACTCACTCCCCAAGTTAACTTGCATGTGCTGCTTGTTTATGGACAGAAATGCTCAAGAGGTACTCTCCAGCGAAGGCTTCCTCTCCCTTTCTAAGGTGTGTCATCGTCCACACGCACTTCACAGGCATTCCCTGGTACTTTAGATTTGTGCTGTAGGAGTAGAGCCAGAGACTGAGAATAAAAAAACTAAAACTCATCGGTCTAGAAGAGGTCGTCTATGTAGCCTCCTGCCTCTGGCTACTGAGACTCTCTGTAGAGCATATAAAAGAGAGGCAAATTGCTTTTGGTTTCTTTTTTAAGATTCTTCTGGTAGGTTGTCTGCGTAAAAGAGACTGTGCTACGGAATGGTTGATGTCAATGTGATGATACTCAGATAGGTTCCTTTGTGATATTGCATACTATTTTTTGGTTTTGTATATCCGCAACAGAGAGTGCAACTAATAATTCCTTATTGTGAGAGGGAGAATTCATAAAAGAGATCTGATGTGTCATTGGATGTCTTTAAGTCACTGCTTTTTTTTTTTTTCCCTGGCTCAAAAAAATAGTCAAATATTCTCTGAACCCTGGTGGTTGTCTCTCCTTTCTCTTTGTGTGTTCCTCCTAGGACCTGAATATTTCAAATGAGAAAACCTATTTGAAAAGCTACATATTTTGTCTTGAGTGTAAACTGTGGCTTTTATTATCCTACTTACTTTAAAGAGGGAAAGGTCTTCGAGGGTCACACCAAGGTTACTGGAAGTCAGTCTGGAAATCTGAGAATCAAAAATATGGGAGTGCAGTAATACTGTGGAGCAAAAGACTGCGAATTTTAAATGTCAGCTGTATCTTACTGACTTAAAAAAATTTTTTTAAACTTTTTTTTTGAGAGACAGAGATAGCATGCGAGTGGTGGAGGGGCAGAGAGAGAGAGGCACGTGGAGGGGCACATCCAAAGTAGGTTCCAGGCTCTGAGCTGTCAGACAGAACCCTACGTGGGGCTCAGACCCATGAACACAAGATCATGACCTAAGCCGAAGTCAGACACTCAACTGACTGAGCCAACCAGGTGCCCCCTACTGACTTCTAAATGTAAATTCTCCTGAATAGCCTGAAAGAGTGACCGCTCCCTATGCTGCCCTGTTTCTTCTTGTTTTGTTGAAGATAGATTCACGGAGGATGTGTTGGAAAGACTAGACATTTGGTGTAGTGGTCCAAGATGTTCATGGCTATTAGTGGAGCTGCTATGGGCAAGGGAGTATATGGCACAAAGGTTAAAGAAAGAAGATGGTCAAAGAGAGTTGCTGATGTATAAGTAATGCTTACAGTTCTGTGAGGTTTTACTGATTGATCATATACATGGTTGAGCTCCATGATAACCGGAATTTTTTTTTTGTCCTTTTCAGACAGCACTTTTAAACATCGTATTAAGAGATTCATTTGCAGCTCCTGAAAAAGATATCTTCCTAGCTTTGTTAAATTGGTGTAAGCACAATTCAAAGGAGAACCATGCTGAAATCATGCAGGCTGTGCGTTTACCTCTGATGAGCCTCACTGAACTTCTGAATGTTGTGAGGCCCTCAGGACTGTTGTCTCCCGATGCCATTCTGGATGCTATTAAAGTTCGATCTGAGAGCCGGGATATGGACCTCAATTACAGAGGCATGCTCAGTGAGTACCTGCTTATCCTGATCTCATTAGGAAGTTTTCTCCCTCGTGTGACAGTCTCAGCTACAAAACAAGCTACAAAACTCTACTTGCGGGCATATGTGGTGTGTGGGTCTAAGAGCATACAGTTCTGCTTCCTGTTGTTCTCTTAATTCCTCCAGAGACTGGCGAGACTTTGTAGACCCCAAAAATTGTGATTTCTTGCCTTTCCTGGATGGATTTCTTCAGCTGTGCCTGCAGTATCAGAAACACTTTCCCACACAGCTTCTCATGCTAAGACCTTTTCTGCCTTCCTCCATCACATGAGCACTGAGTATGTGCTATGCATTTATTATTTCAGGTACTGGGAACACGGAGATTCTAAGTAATAGTAGTAGCTAACACTTGTGTCACATTTCCAACACTTATGTGAGTTTTCTTATTAATAAATATAATAGTGGTTCACACTTATAAAGCGCTTGTATGTATCAATAACGGTTCTACATGATCATTTTTTTAATGTTTATTTTTGAGAGAGAGAGTCAAGTGTAAGTAGGGGCGGGGCAGAGAGAGAGGAAAGAATCCGAAGCAGTCTCCAGGTTCTGAGCTGTCAGCACAGAGCCCAACACAGGGTTTGAACTCCTGAACCATAAGATCATGACCTGAGCTGAAGTCGGACACTAACCGACTGAGCCACCCAGACTTCCCTCTACACGATCATTGAATTCTCAAAACAGCCCTTTGAAGTAGCTACCATTATTGGCTCCATTTCACAAATGAGGAAACTGAAGCACAGAGAGGTTAAATAACTTGTGGAATGTCACACAGAAAGATGCAGAGCTGAGAGTCAGACCTGTGTGGGTAGGCTACATAATTAACCGCTATGCAAAGCTGTGTAAATGCAAAATACAGTCTCTGCAGTTGAGCCTTTTGATTTCCTTGTGGAAATAAGACCTACTCCCCTGAAAAGTTCAGTGTACCAGTGTTTAAGACGAACACATGCTTTGAACTTCCGAAGGGGATCTGGCTTGGAAGGATTGAGGGAGATTTCATGGAGGTTATGAAGCCTGAGATGAATCTTCACATTTGACACGAGGGGTTTTGGGGAGGAGTGTATTCAGAGGGGAGGACTGGTTACTACTGAGAGCCAAGCTGGGGCATTTGAATGACTGTGAGCAGGAGAGCTCAGCTAGAGGTAGTAGGCTTGTGTTGATAAACAACACAGGCTGTAGTGGTCAAGTCAGGCAAAATCGTGGAAAGCTTGAGATCTGGCTCATATACAACGAGAAGCTAATTTTCAAGAGGAAGAGAAGCATGAGTATGGTGGTGGTCTTGAAAGATTGATCCATGGAACAATACTTGATGATTTGGAATAGTGAAAACCGATTCAGGGAGACCAGCTAGGTGGGTGTCTGACCTGTGTTGGGTTGATAAACCTTAAACTAGAGTGGTAGTAGGGAAGATGGAAATTTTATATTCTAAAACATTAGATCTTGGTGATTTAGGGGATTAAGAAAACTTTATTTTAATGTTTATTCATTTTTGAGAGAGAGACAGAGACAGAACAGGGAAGGGGCAGAGAGAGGTACAGAATCAGAAGTGAGCTCCAGGCTCCAAGCTGACAGCATGTGAGATCATGACCTGAGCTGAAGTTGGACGCTTATTCGACTGAGCCACCCAGGTACCCCTAAGGGATTAAATCTGAAGATTAAGTTTAGGAGGAAGTTAACCTTAGTTTGTCAAATCTAAGAAACCAGAAGTTCTGAGGTGCCATTTTATTATGTGCCACTAAGAAAGGAAACAGTATTGCCAATTAAACCATGACACACCATCATGTCTGTGTCCCAACTTGAGAAATGTTAAAATTTGAAAAACTGAAGATGCTGAGCTCATATTTGGACTTACTGAGTTTGAGGGTTTCTGGGCCATCTTAGTACTAAGTTCTGTCTCATGTTAGTCATTTCCCTGAGTGATCTTTTCTTTGACCATGGCTCAGACACTCTTGAAAACTGATTGATCTTAAATAGATGTCCTTAGTCTGGACTTCTTTCCTGACTAAACACATTTAGATTTCCTTTTCATTGGGCACTGAAGAAAAAGCATTGGTTTTGGAGCCAGACAAGTTTGACCTCAAATCCTGAATGACTCACTAGTTGTATGACCTGGTATTAAGTTACATAAGGAATTTTACCTTTAGTCTTAATGTTTCCTTATACTGTTATGAGAATTAATTGAAATAATGTGTGTAGAGGCGCCTGGGTGGCTCATTCAGTTAAGTGATTGGACGCTTGATTTGGACTCAGGTCGTGATCTCACAGTTGCAAGATTAAGCCCTGTGTCAGGTTCCATGCTCAGCACTGAGCCTGCTTGGGACTCTCTCACTTCCTCTCTCTCTGCTCCTCGCCTCCTTGCACGCTGTCTGTCCCTCTCAAAAAATAAATAAATATACAGTTTTTTAAAAAAGAAATAATGCGTGCAAATAACATCTGTAAGCTCAATTAAGGAAATGATTGTTATATTACCATTATTTGTATTCTTCCTCATCTCTGTCTCTGTAGGAATTATCACATTGATCACATTGTTTTAAAATTTTTTGTTTACTTGGCTTTGGTCCTTGAAGGCAGAGATGATCTTTGTAAGGCCTGTTAATCTTTGTATCCTTAACATTTAACATACTGTATAGCATATAGGAGACATTTGGTGAATGAACTCAAGGAGAAATGTCTAATAGCAGTACAAGCATGTTACTGGCATTTAGGAAGCAATCAGAGCTGGTGAAGAAAGAGTTGAAACCTGGGCTGGAGTGTACAGAAAGAAGTGAAGATCAAAAGGATTTTCACAAAAGACTAAATAAAGAAGACCTTTAGCCAATGGGCTGAAGGTAGAGAAGGAAGAATTAGAGAGGTAGGAAGAAAACAGGGTAGGGTTACAGAAGCCCATTTATATGGAGAGAACTTTTATATGGAGAGAGTGGTCACAGGTGTCCAGTGATGCTGAGGTATAAGAAGAATGAGAATTGAGAGAAAACTTTGGGATATAAATTGTAGTGGATTGCTGAGTAGTCTGGGCAGAAGCTTGACTAAATGGGGAATTAGGCCATGGGTTTGAAAAGATAGTAAGCACCATGTGTTGACCATCTAATGTGTAAATTGGAGTGAAAGGCAGTTGAGAAATAGTATGGTAGCCAGAAGGAACAGGTCGAGAGATGTCTGGGTGGAGATGAGAGGTGCTAGAGAGTGGTCCTAGGTGAGGGTCAGCCTTGGATTAAAGTATGGGAGGGTAGAAGGGGGAGAGGTAATAAGATACGTAATATAATTTTAGACTTATAAGTTCTCATTGTCAGATCCTCTCGTACAAGTTTCTTTTATCCCCTTCTTGCCCTAGCTTTGGTGTGAGGTGTTGGGAGGACCCTAAAACTGGATTTGCTATAGGGATAGGCTTGGGACATTTTTGTGGGAGGGAGGAGATGCTTTGGACATTTCATGTAGTTAATGGTAGCTTAGAATTGACCAACTGATCAGTATAGGTGTCAGACTTGGGTTATGATAAACCCATGAAATTACCATGAAAGGGACTGCTCAGTTCTGGAATGATGTATTTGCTGTTATTATTACCCATAAGTATTAAATTTTTCATTTTGGAATAATTCAGTAGGATCTTGAGGAAGAAATTATACAAATGTTTGGGAATCTTTTGTCTAATTTCTGAACTTGAGAGATGAATAAATAGGCTGTTTTTCTGACTTTTTCACTATATGGATAGCAAAATCAATAATATCAATACTAAGGATGCATATCACTTTCCTATCTGATCCTAAGAAAATAGGTAATTTCCTAAGTAAATGTTATCCAAACATCCTTCACTGTTAGGAAAAAGGGTCTAAAATTTCAGAACTGTTCCTGGGCTGTTCTGGAACAACAGTTCTGCTTATTTTGAAACTACTGACCAAATTTGTTTGTTTGTGTCTTTGTTTTCCCCTGGGTATAGTTTCTGTGTCTTTGGGGACTTTGCATGAACTGTGGAGAAGTTCTGTTCTGAACTAGGGGCAGCACAGATATTAATGCTTTTTCTTTGAGTTTATTAATATTAGTTACTGGAAGGTTCTACACTTAGAGCTGCATATCCTGGGGATTTTAACCAAATTGCAGCAATTTTTTCTTCCTTAAAAAAGGTGGGGGGTATACCCAAAGGATGTTTTTAATTTACCAGTGATGGTTAGTCTTCCTGGGAAAGTGGTTTTGACTAGTTTTATACATACACCTGGGGAAAAGGAATTAACATTTAATGAAATTATTTCCCCCCCACCCTTAGGGTATTTGAACTACTAGCACTCAGACCATTCCCTTAATGTTTAGTTTTGTCTTAGATATTTCTTCCTTGAAAGTTAGTGCTTTTTCTCTTCGGGCTGAGTTGTACTTTGTTTTGCATGTCTCAGGTTTTAGACTTTGGGGAAAAAGGACAGCAACTTATTGTTTCTTCATGTTTATAGCAGGGAGCATATTACAACTTCCATTCTCAGGATTTCTTTATTGAGTACAAATCAGTCTATTCATAGGACTGCTAAGTTTAATTATTGGTTGATATATAAATATGTATGTGTGTTTAAATCTCTGCTGTAGTTACATGGTACCAATACTCCTGCCCGTAGTTTCCAGTAATTCAGATGGAGAAAGCTTGCCATCTTGCTTTTCTTGCCTAGATGCTTATGAGACTGAGATTCCTGAGGACTGTAATTATGTCCTTCATCCCTGTTTTTTCCAGCATCTAGCACAGTGCCCAAATCTAGACTTTTCAAAGTAAATGAGTGACTGAATGGATCCATCCCTTGCTTCTAGACAACATTTAACAATGTCTCACTGATCACATATCAGCAGTAATAACAGCAGTGAACCTTTAATACTTTCACAACCCTTTGACTCCTGTTTTATTTATCTTTTATAGTTCATAGTATCTTGATCTGTAAACTAGGGGGGTTCACAAAGAATCTCTCCTGAGTATTCCTGTGTGGAGGCATTTCATGTCTGATATGCACTTGTCTGTATTAGACCGTGAGTTGCTGGGGGGCTGAGTCCTGCACAGTCCAGCACACAGAAGGCAGCTTAGAAATTTTTTTTCTTTATATAAATAGGATGAAGGTCCCATTCAGCCCTTAGAAGTTTTCATCCTGTGATCTTTATAAGTAACTTGCCTAAAGTTACTCAGTGAAATCAATGCCTGAGCTGGAACCAAAGTGCTGATCTGACTCACGAGGCCAGTGCTCTTTGGTAAAGGCTCCTGCCTGGGTTATTTTCTAGCTCTGTTTTGTGTTTGGTGCGTCTGAGCACCATCCTGTTAAATGTGGAAAGGAGGCCTGCAGAGAGTGGAGATAATGGGGAGAGTTAAGGGAAGACAGGAGTTGTCAAGAAAGCCATGTGTAATGCCGCATAGTTTTCCGGGGAAGTCAGATCGGGGGGTAGAAGATGGTTGGGGTAGAGAATTAGGTAAAGAGATTGCAGTGGGCAGAGAACCAAGTGTGGCTCCAAATGACCCATCGGAGTGGACAGCTATCTCAGCCTCGATGTAAGAGAACGTTCAATAAAGGAGGAGTAAGGACATAACACAATTAAAGAAAAACACAAGATTTTTAACATAGAACCACTTGGATTTAGGTACTGTGTTGCTAGCAGCAGGTCCTATTTCATTTCTTCTTAGCTTTTCTTTCCAATGATTGGCTTGTTTCTGCCTACCTGTGGAACTTCAAAGCTTAATTTTTTTTCTTCATGGTTGTAAAATGCATCAAAAATCGTAAATGTTAAGAAAACTGTTGTTACCTGCTATGTTGTTTAATCTCTAACAGTCTATATTTTTTGAGAGCTCCTTTCTCAATTGATATTAGGCAGTAAGAATATATTTATGGTCACTTTTCTTAAATTTAACTATAGGTTGTGTGTGTGTGAGTGTGTGTTTGTACGCATGCGTGCAGGTGTGTGCACATGCACACACACACACACACACACAAATACTTGGGGGTTGTATTTTTATCCTGTGAGATAGTCCGATCATGGTCACCGTGAGAGGCTTGCCACTTGTGTAAATGTTCCCCATTTTAAAGTGAAAGATACTTTCAGGGAATCTATGTCAAGAATAGTTAGAAAAGTTGTCAGGCACCCTTGAAATGAACTTCAAAAGGAGACTTTAGACTTGTGGTAGCAATTTCATTTCCATTTTAGACTTCTAGAGATGAAGAAACTTGTGTTTAGAGAAAATCAAAGGGTGGCAGCAATTTCTAAACCTGAAAGCTTGAGTTCCTCCTTTTTTTGGCTTGGTCTTGACTGGTGGTGGCAGAACTGGTGGAGATGGTTGCAGTGGTCCTCAGTGACAGACTTCAGAACCCCCCATTTTACACCCAGCAGTAAGGGAGCAAATCTCTCTTTTTACCAGTGTTATGCATTATTGACACTGAAATGTGCAGATTGGAAGTTTTTGTTTGCTTGCTTTATGAAAAGCTTCATCTCTTGATTGGAGGCATCAGGGGGGCAGGGCCCATCTCTGTCTCCCCCTCTGAGGCATTCTAGTGGTACCTGGTGCAGATTGAGTCCTCAGTAAGTGGTTTTGACTGTTTGAATGCTTTACACGTCCATGATACTATAGCATATCTTATTTGTAGAATAATCTTGACAGTAACCCAGGGAGTGGCTTAGGCACAGCGTTATTTGTGCATGAGAAAACTGATCCAGAGAGACTGACAGGCCTCACTCGGAGGGAGTGGGTAGTAGAGCCCAAGTCTTAAGACTTCAGGTCTGAGACTTAGGTTTTCTCACTTTAAATCCAACTTTGTTTCTTTAAAAAACAAAACAAAAAACCAACTCTATCAGACTCTGTTTTTTCCTTTGGAGTCTCAGGCGACCCTATAGGGAAGGGTTTAGAGAGACGGGTAAGTGTCTTCCCATCAGAAACCCTTCCCAGGGAGGTGGCAGGCAGGGCTCCTGGAGGCAGACTGCAAGAATACGTGTGGTTACCACAAGCTAAAAGAACTCCAGAAATTCTAAACCTGTATCCCTTCATGGAAAAAGTTGAGCCTGACTAGGTTTCAATTTGCTTTATTTTTCTGAGTTGCCTTAGCCTTTTGCAAGTTAACTAAACCTTTACACCCAGTCCCCATTTGTCAGCTGCATTTATTGTCATCTTCTGGAGCTACTCCCTTTGAAAAATGTTTTTAAAACCCACATTTTTGAAGAAATATGCAGTGATGAATTACTCACCCCCTTTCCCTAAGAGCCTAATTATAGCTCACACTTTCCCCTATTCAAATCACATAGCTGAGATGTATATGTACTGTGAGAATTCAGTATTTATTTACAATCTGTGAACTTGCTTAGTTCTCTTATTACTGTGTGTTTTTTAGTATATGTTTCATAATAATGATGATTTTTTAAAATGTTTTATTTATTTCTGAGAGAGAGAGAGAGAGACAGTGTGAGCAGGGGAGGGTCAGAGAGAGAGGGAGATACAGAATCTGAAACAAGCTCCAGGCTCTGAGCTAGCTGTCCGCACAGAGCCCGACACAGGGCTCAAACCCATGAACTGAGAGATCATGACCTGAGCCGAAATCGTAGGCTTAACCGATTGAGCCACCCAAGGCGCCCCAGTGACTTTTTTTTTTTTCCTTAGAGAGCTTACTATGTGCTTTGCAAATATCATCCCACTTAATCCATACAACAAATAAACAAAAACATCTGGGTGTAGATATTGCCTTCTTGAGAAAGTCAAGTTCAGAGAAGGTAACTTCCCCAGAGTGATTTGCCTCATTAAAGGTGCAGCGGCTGTTTGAGCTCTGACTTTGAAGCCCAGGCTCTTAACATGTGCTTTATGCTTTATGCTGCCTCCTGTCTCTCCTCAGAGAGCGACAGTCAGAATGTCGGCACTTAGAAGACATGCTCCGGCTCTGTGAAGCAGCCTTTGCAAAGAGGACTTGAGTTCCAGGAACAATTGACACTTAACAAATCTAGTGTTGGAGAGGGGAGGGGGCTTAATTATGACCATAATAATGATTTTGATGACAGACTGAATTTCCATTTTTAAAAATCTCAATTGAAGTAAAAATAGATCTTCTTTTAAACATATTGTTGTTTGTTAGCTAGATTAACTGCTTCAGTGTGTTTGTGTGTGGCCCGTGTCCACTATCTCTGCTGTATTGGAACATGTTTTCTTCTGTTGTCTTATCAGGTATCTGCCCTGTCTGCTTTGCTTGTATATGTTGTTCTTGGTCCACATGGCTGGTACAGGTCATCTTCTATGCTGTTTTTGTCCTGCAGATAGTAAATTAAAACTCCTAATAGAGGGAACTCAGCGGAGCTGGTTTGTTTGCCTTAGTACGTGTTTTTTTTTTCTTTTTCTAGTATTATGAGCTTCTTCCTCTTAACACTAGTTTTAGGGACTTTGTGGCTATGATGGTGTCATTAAATTTAAATGATGTGTGGTATCTTAACCCTCATAGACATTCCAAATCTTCTATCTCCACAGACTTGTCTCTGCCATTTTAAATTAAATGCACATAATAGAATAAATTAGAATGCTAAAATTTTGTCTTTTCCCCACAATATGGAATAACTTACTAAGTAACTATTAACCTTGCTTTTCTATTTTTAACTGTAGTACCAGAAGAAAATATTGCAACTATGAAGTACGGAGCCCAGGTTGTAAAAGGGGAGCTGAAGTCTGCCTTATTAGATGGCGATACTCAAAATTATGACTTGGATCATGGATTTTCTAGGCACCCAATTGATGATGACTGCCGTTCTGGCATTGAGATTAAGCTAGGTCAGCCCTCTATTATCAACCACATACGGATACTGCTGTGGGACCGGGACAGCCGGTGAGTGATTAGCATGACTTGGAGAGAAAATAACGTATTCGATTTAATTGGCCTAATTTTGTGATCATCTCCTTTGGTTTTACAGTTTGATGGTTTATTCCCTTGGGATTGTTTTGCTATTTCTCTTGAAGTTCGAGGAGAAGAGGGAAAGGCTATATTCCTTTAAAAAAACATTTTTTGCTTTTTTTCCTGCTTATAAAAGTAATGAATATGTGTTTATCATGGAAAACACAGAATATGTAGAAAAGCACAAAGAAGAAAATAGAAATTGTTAGTAATCTTGCCAGCCATTAATAATCTTTGTATATAACTAGTATATATCTAATTATCTAACTTTGTATATATTTAACTAGTCATATGCACATGTATATACACAAAACAGAAACCTGTAGAACTGTACAGTTTTATAAAATAAAGGTTTTGTGTGTGTGTGTGCGTGTGCGCGCACACCTATGTGTGTTTATGTGGGCTCTGGGTGACAGCCATCATGAAAATGAGAACTCCAGGCTTTTAACCACAAGGAGATGAACTGTGTCAACAACCTGAGTGAGCTTGGAAGTTGATTCTTTCCCACTCTAGCCTCCAGATGAGAATGTAGCCAGCCAAAACCTGGATTGCAGCCTATAGGCTTTTTTTTTTTTAACAAATAGTTTATTGTCAAGTTGGTTTCCATATAAAACCCAGTGCTCATCCCCACAAGTGCCCTCCTCCATGCCCATCTCCTCCCTCCCCCCCACTATAAAATAAAGATTTGATGTCTAAAGACTAACTTCACTTTGTAGTTGTGAACATTCTACTCTTCAAAAATACTTGTCTAAAATATTACTTTTGGGAAGAGCCAAGATGGCGGAACAGCATGGAAGTCTTTTATCCATCTCATGAATGTGAAATACAGCTAGATCTACACTAAACCATGCTGCACACCTAGAAAACTAAAATATTACTTTTAATGGTATTTTACCACCTGGGTTACTGTTATTTATTTACTTGATTCTTCACTTTTGGAGATTATAACATTTTATTTTTTTTAATTTTTATTTATTTTTTTAAATATTTTTTATTTCTAGGAGAGAGAGAGAGACCGCGTGAGCAGAGGAGGGTCAGAGAGAGAGGGAGACACAGACTCTGAAACAGGCTCCAGGCTCTGAGCTGGCAGTCAGCACAGAGCCCGACGCGGGGCTCTAACCCACAAACCACGAGATCATGACCTAAGCGAAAGTTGGACGCTTAACCGACTAAGCCACCCAGGCGCCCTAGGACATGATAACATTTTAAAAATGCATTTTGTCCTATGGATGAAGAAAAAAATTATCTTTTAGCATATAGACAAATAATCATCCTCAAAACAAAGGAAGTTTGTGAAAAGAGTTTGATGGGCTCCAGCCTAGGAACCCACCCAGTTGTGTAGTGGCTTCAAGATCCTGCCTGCCTTCCAGCACCTCTGATACTTTGACTCACTGTGGTTTCTAGGGTCAGCCATCATGCTCAGAAGTACTGGAGCAGTATAGGTGACCAAGAACTGTCTTTCTCATCACTGCCCATCAGTACCCTAAACCCTACATACCCAGAAACTGATATAGAGTCTCGTAGGCCCTACTCAGTGCCACTGAGTGTGGGCATGGTGGACTTGATAGTAATGGTGATGATACCTTGTAAATCTTGCACGTTAATTCATTTCTCTTAGCACCACCGGCTACCACTCTGGCCTTTTAAGCCATTTGAACCAAAGATGAGGGAAGCTTTATGAAGTAGGAGTCCGCATTTCCCATACGCGTAGGTGCTCGAGGTCCCCCAGGTTATCTTTATTTCTTTTTTTTAAGAATGTATTTCCTGGGGTACCTGGAAGGCTCAGTCAATTAAATGCCTGACTTCGGCTCAGGTCATGATCTCATGGTTTGTGAGTTCGAGCTCCTCATTGGGCTGTTTGCTGTCAGGCTGCAGCCTGCTTTGGATCCTCTGTCCCCCACTTCTCTCTCCCCCTCCCCCACTTGCACTCGCTCTTTCTTTCAAAAAAAAAAAAAACCCAACATATTTCCTGATATGTATTTTGTTGGATATAATATGTTTATTTGGCAAAATGGGGCTAACTCACCTATCATTTCCAAGAGTCTCTGGATTAATAATAACAGTTTAACAATAATAATACTTATATAGCACTTTCATTACTTTAATGTGGTAGGCAGTGTTCTCAAAGCTTTGCATATATTCACTCATTTAATTAATAATGAAATTAATATAAAGATAATAAAAGAAAAGGTTAGTATGTTTGAAACTGAAAGTAGTTATTATCGTTTCCATGATGTTAAATATTTATGGGCCACTTTACTTTTAGTATGTGCATTACATTCATGGGGGACTTAACTTCCGCATGTAGCAGTTCTTTTCTCATAGAAGTTGTTATCATTCTAAGCAAAGGTGAAAAATGCAGAATCTTAAGCCCAAAAGATTCTGACATGTGTTGTAAAATTATATCCTGCATTCCTGATAACCCAGAGAGGTTCAATAAAAGGTTATAACCAGTTTGAGACCGAGCGATAAAATGAATGGGAATGAGGGGGCAGCAGAAAATGAGAGGATGACACAAAATAAGCTGACCTTTTCTGGTCACAACTGTTGGTTGCAGGCTGACATTTATGGTCACCTAAATCTTCTGAGATTGTTCCTGTTGATATTACAGTACAAGTAATAACTGCATCTCAAATTTAAATTTGGCTTATGACAGGGGAATATAGATTGGTTCAGCATGGGACCAGCATCTAATGGTCCAGGGTAGCTGACTAGGGGAGGGTGATAGGCTGTTTTCATTACCGCCAGATTATTAGCTGCCAAATTCTATGTTGTATCCCAAAGAACATACATTATCTCTTCACCCATGTCATTTATTTTTCTTCAGGCTGGTTGTATATGTGGGATGGTGGGAGACTGGGAGGGAGTTGGAGATAAGCTGGCCTTTCCTGGGAACCATTCTGAGTTCGCTTTCCTGAGAGAACAGGGCTGAGCACCCAGACTAGGGAAGGTAGAAGGTGAAGGCATACCTCTTACGTGTCAGTTTTCTGTCCTCTCTCTTGTTATGGCTTTATTAATCTCCTGATGTAGTAGGAGCAAGGCAACTGGCTCTATTTGGAAAGAAGCAAATGTCTTGCATGCCGGGTATGTGCCAAACAGCGTGCTAAACCCTGACTATATGAAGATGAGTATGGCGTGATCAGCTTGTGATCTGCTAAAGCATACAGACAAGCCTGAGAGATCATCTCGATATATTGTGGTGAATGCTACAATACAGAGATCTATGCAGATTTTATTATTATCTGAATTTGATTGTTATGCAGAGAGTTCTGATAATAATCTGTTAGGCAGAAAATAGAGCTAGTGAATAGTGTAATTTTTGTACCCTTTAATGTTTTATTCAGTATAATGTGGTTTGTTATTTTAATATGGTTTTTTTCTGTCTTTTTCCTTTTGATTCCTAGGTCTTACTCATACTTCATTGAAGTGTCAATGGATGAACTTGATTGGATCAGAGTGATTGATCATTCACAATATCTGTGTCGTTCTTGGCAGAAGTTATATTTTCCAGCCCGTGTTTGCAGGTTAGTTCTCATGGCTAAGTAATGAATGATTTTGATGTTTACTTAAGGAGATTTGGACTTTGAGAAACAGACTACGTTTTTTTCCGTCCCAAGGAAAAAATTTTCAGGATATCAGCTACTAAATGCGTCCCAACTAAAAAACTTAGAGAAAATAGGAAAATTAAGCATCTTAATTCTAGAGTACACTGTGGAACTGTTTATCCACAGTGTTTTGTGCCGTACTTAGGCAGAAGACACGTAAAGAATAAGAAGGGAGAGAGAACACTGAGAAGTGGAGATGATTTTTAAGCTCCATGCTATCCACTGAAAGCAGAGTGATTGGTAGGGACTGTGTTCTTCCCACAAAAGCCAGGGGAGATATTTCTGAAGATCATGACAGATGACTTCCCTGGTCATCCTCAGGACCGGGAGGAGATTTTTATATGTTAGTGTGCATGTTCTGAATATCTGTGTTCTTTTTCTACGCCAGTGCTTATCAGTGGAGTTTGACATAACCAAGTGTTTTTGTGGGTTGGGTTTTGAGCAGGCGAGGCTGAGCTAGAGGGGCTCCAGGCTCACATCCTCCCTTAGCACCTTAGCTTTTATTGTTGTTATGTATCGTAGCCCCATAGAAAGTTGTTTTTAGAAAGTGTTGATGAGCTACTGTTCTGATATTTCATATTTTTCCTTTAGGTTTAAGCCGTCTTTTAAACCTTCTGAATTATGTAAAACCTATACAACTAATGAATTTGGGTGTTGGGAAAGGAGGTTTGATGTGTCCAAAATTCTGTTGGTTTTTTTTCTTTTCTGTTGTAATTTTCCCTTTGGATATTGCCCTCAGGTATTCCTTACTTTAGGGTCAAAAGGTCAAAGGAGAAAATGATTGGTTCATTTAGTCAGGTGTGGCAAGAAGAGAAGGAAAGGTATTTGGGGGTATAAACCAGGGGCAGTGTGGATCTGGCCTCTTACCTGCTCCCATGCCTTCCCTCATCCATGACCCCAGCTGACCTCTCACTGTAGCTGATTTGGAGCAGATGGGGGTGCCCAACAGCACTTACCCTCTTGGTCAGAAGACACCCTTATACTTAACAAAATTAGGATCTAACAGCATCAGGATGAATTCTTACCTACACTGAAGGAACTCCACAAAAGCTCTCGGCTTCTGGTACAGTAAAGAATGTTGCCTGCATTTTTTCTTTATTATTATGGGTATGACCGGACACAATATTGTTACCCAGGGATCCTCTTGTGTGAAAATGAAGGAAATCAATTTCATTTCCCCAAAGAGAGACCAAAGTGTTGCAGATCTGGCAGTTGCTCTTTTTATCAGAGGAGTTTTGAATGGATTAAAATAAGAGGGACAAGAAATTGAATGAAGATTTTGTGTCTCAGAGCTGCCTTGGGATACTTTGAGAGTGACAGAGGGGCCCCAGCTTGGAGGAGGAGATTGAGTCTGCATTGACTCGGGTTATTATGGTTGTATTGGATTAAAAAATAAGCATCATAGCAACCAAAGCATCTGATGTGGACTGAAGGACTGTATGGGTTGTATTTAATTTGAAACAAGAGGAACTGGACTCCCAGAATAAATGATCATGAATATAATAGTAGCCACGACAGAGGCTGTGTGCTTTACCCACTCGGAAATTCCCTCTGTGTGGAGGGAGATTTATGCCTTCAGTCGTGATCTCTGGCTTTTAGAAAATATACTTCACATTATTTACTAATGGGCATTACTTATTTTCCCCTTTCCTTATTTAGTCTCTTCTGTTTGGCCTTGCTTTTTGTTGATGTAGCTTTTATGTGTTGTAGAGCTTGGCTGTATTCATGATGCTAGTTTTGTCTTGGTATAGCCAGTTCCTAACCCTGGTAAAGAAAAACTGAGCAATGATGATGTTAGAGATGGTGATAACAAGAAAAGGAAAGACTCTTGACACCCATACTAGTTAAGAAATAAATTTAAAACGATTTATAAGCGCTTTTACATATTAATTACTACATTCCTTTAAAACTGCCTTTTGTAATTTTGATAGCCTTTAAAAATGAACCTGAGAAGTCTCAGTTGATTATCCAAGGATGTCTTATATTTGGTGTTTCTTATCTTCACAATCATTTATTGACTATCTAAACAGTGTTCTAAATATACATCTTTCAGGAACTTTACTGGGCACATTATTTAGTTAATTTGCACATTTGTATGTCACCTTTGGTTTTCAGTGTCCTTTGAGTATTTGTCTTGCCTCTGATACTAAAATTACAAAGTCTTGGAAGCAAGGAGTATGGATTCTTATCTTTTAGTATTCTTGCATGGTACTCAGCCTGTGACCTCGTATGTAATAGGTACTCTATAAATGTTAGCACAGGTTTCATAGGGTCAGGGCCCTGACTGCATAATGAAGAGAGATTGATTCAGCATTAATATGTATATATATTCATTGGCACTTTTTAATCCATGTATTTGTTAAAATATATAATAGTGCTTGAAATGTCTCTGGAGTGGTATGTGGATCTATACTGTTTGCAGAGGTAACTTTCTGTTTTGTAGCAGGAAACTGAATTTTGAGGTTAATCCTGAAGGATATGGGTACCAGATATTGATGAAATGCACAAAGGAAGAGACTCTATGAGTTGGGGAGTGTGAGATTAACTAGCTCTCTCTGAGTCTTGGCTGCATTGCATGTAAATCAGTACTGTGTAGTAAAAACCATTGGCTGTGGAGCTAGATAGAGGTCTTCTCACATTCTGGTTTCACTGAATACTGACATGGTGATCTTTGTAGGGCTGTGCTTCTCCAAGCCCTTGCTTCTCCTCCAGTAAAAAACATGAATATCACAACACTGTTGATAAGGTCTGCTATGGAAAGTTAGATGACCTAGCATATGTACAAACATTGAGTACAGTGCCTGGTCCAAAGGAGAGGCTCAGTCACTAGTAGTTTTTTATTGTTTTTGTTTTTATTGTTTTTATTATTTTTATTTTAAAATTGCTTTTATTTTTTTCTAATTTTTGAGACCGTCAGCTGGTGTTTGACCTTCAGAGAAAGAGATTTGTTCTTGCCGTCCTCTTTGGCCTCTTGGGCTCTCACTGTGAGGAAATTGTTCCTGACCTCAGGAGCCTAGTCCTCTCACCCCTTTTCCATATTGCCAGTCCATACATAGCAGTCCAAAACGTGCCTTAAATGGTTTGCTTTATCTTCATAACCTGCGTATTGGCGTGTTTCCAACAGGTTTAATATATTTTCATTTTGGTAAAACATGTTTTATTGTGGCAAAATATATATGACATGAAATTTTCCGTTTATAGATTTTGTGGAATGTAGTTCCGTTAGCACTTCACCTCGCCAAGGTAGTAGACTTTATGTAGTGGCAATAAGGATAATGTCAGGCTTCAAAGTCAGAGTGATTGTTCCAACCATAGTAGTGAATGGAAGGAATGATCTCCTCTGTCTTCTGGGCCCTTTTTAGGAATGTGCTGTAGATTAAGTAGCCAAAAGCCTAGACTAATAACTCCCCCTGCTCAGCTCCCACCTAGGGATGAAGAAAATTGACTTGTCCATGTTTGTATAATCTTTCAGATGCACTCAGAACCATGTTAGGTGTTACCAGTTTTTTCTTTCTCAGGAAAAGGCAATTTCTGCGCTACCCATAAATTCTCCCACCCTTAGTGTCTTGGCTATCTAGTAAGCTCTCTTCAAGCTTTCCTAGATGCTGGAGCCTAGGACTGTACAGAAACCACTCATATGGAGTGGCAAATATGGCGTGCCCTGGGAGTGTTTTTAAAAACTTTCTGGCTGTTTCTCAACATGGTGCTAATAGTTGGGCAGCTATATACCATTGCCGAAATAGAAGACTTGAAAATGTGGGTTTGAATGGGTAGAGATGGATTTCAGAGCCTGCAGGCAGCTGGTAGCTGAAATTACCAAGGTGATCCTGGGGCAAAACCTGGGAGCTGAGGGAGGGAGTAGCAGGCCTGCTAGCAGCGGCCTCAGGGTGCGCCCGGGGGTGTTTTCTGTGCAGGCTGGTCAGAGACCTGAGAGGAGTCAGGAGGCGCAGGACTGAAGGTGAGGCTAGGAAGGGTATTGACAGGGGTGCGGCATGACAGGGATGACCTCAGTTTACACAAAACCGGGCTTCTGTCTTTTTAAAAAAATTTTTAGAGTTTATGTACTTATTTTGAGAGAGAGAGAGAGAGAGCGCGCGCGTGTGTGTGCGCAAACACATGCATGTGAGTGGGGGAAAGTCAGCGAGAAAGAGAGAATTCCAGGCAGGCTCCAAACTCACAGCAGAGCCCGACATAGGGCTCAGTCCCGTGACCATGAGATCATGACCCGAGCTGAAATCAAGAGAACTTATTTTAATTTAGATTTCTTTCATCATCAATGAGGTATTTTTTAATAATGGCCATTTGTTCTTTCTCATTTATGAAAAGCCTAGTTTTGTCTTCTGCGGCAGTTATCTTTTTCAGTGTTGCAAGCACTTACTCTGATATACTGACATATACATATATATGACATATACATATTGAGATATATATGCATATACACGCATACACATATATGCCATCCTGTTGCCTGTCCTGTGTTGTACAATTTGTTTTTAGTTTTCAGTGTTTTACTGGTACTTTTTGCCATATAGAGTTTTACTTTTTAAAAAATGAAGTTTAAAAAATACATAGATACATATGTACATACGTAATAAAGTAGTCTAATCTGTTAATCATTTTTATGATCTCTGGTGGTCTGCTATCGTGTTTAGAAAAGGTGTTTCTCACTCTCACATTAAAGAATATTATATTTTTATAAACTTTCTACTGTTATTTTTGTCTTTAGATATTTAATTCAGCCAGAATAGTTTTTGTATGTATTTTTTTATTAAAAAAATTTGTTTAATGTTTTATTTCTGAGAGAGAGAGAAAGAGAGAGAGAGACAGTGTGAGCAGGGTAGGGTCAGCGAGAAAGGGAGACATAGAATCTGAAGCAGGCTGCAGGCTCTGAGCTGTTAGCACAGAGCCCGACGCGGGGC